TCAATTAACAATGGTTATTTCCATTCGTATGTCGATACGATATATCCCAGTTAGCTTGAAATTAAAGATACCACAGAGTCTGTCACATCTGTTTCATATTTGGATATTTTACTAGAAAAGACGTTAATGATTATCTAACAACCAAGCTTTATGATAAACGTGATGACATTAACTTTTCAATCGTTAACTTCCCTTACTTATGCAGCAATTAACCTTCATCATCTGCGTACGGGGTTTATATCTCTCAGTTGATTCGATACGCAAGAGCATACTTTACGTATTAACAATTTCTAAAACGAGGTAAGTTATTGACAAACAAGTTGATGAAACAAGAATATCAGCAGTCTCGTTTAAAGTCAGTAAGTTCTATGGTCGATAGAATGACCTTGTCAGCAAATACAATTTATCATCAAGTCAAATGCTGACTGACGTTTTTCATACTAATTGTTAGGCTTTTATTTACACACTGAGTTCTCGACGGATTTTTCCGTTTTTACCCGTTCATAACAAGGAGCACACGGCGGGTGTGACCGGTCGGCAGGGGATGCTCACTCCTCCATGGCACCTGATCCCACCTCTGATGTTTTGGAGGTCCGTGTTTGCTCTGCTCCAAAATTTGTATTGTTTAATGGACTTTTGAGCTTGAATAATGTTCGTTATCTCCATATATTTCATTTACAACAAAGTAATTTCGTTGATGACCAGTCAAGATATAAAAATTTTCGAGTTCTTTTTGATTGAAGAAGCAGTTGTCTATTATATTGAAAAGCCTGTTTTTTAATTTATCGCGAGGAATGGTTTTATAAACTGTAGAAAAGGTCATACATTTTAATTTTGAAAAATATTGTGATTTTAAATTTTCCAAGTTCTTTGGGTTTTTTGAGAATTCACATTTGAATTTCACCATTTCTAGAACATGCTGTAGCACAGTAGTTAATATTTTTTATGAGGAGAAATGATCGGTATATAGTAGGGCACTTGCTGGACCCGGCAATATATATATTTTAAGGATTTTTATGAAGTTTATGAATCTAAGTATAGGTAGGATAAATCATTCTCACCTTTATTGACTGGCATGTTAAAAGTATTAAAGACTTAAATATAATTTTGAAGAATTTCACCCTTCGAGAGTGAACAGTGAGCAAGTAATATTTTCAAATGTAGAATTAAAATCAAGTTTTTCTAAAATACAGTTATAATGAGCCTTTCAAACAAAGACGATATTGTTTCAAGCCCTGTCTGCTGGAACCATAACATATTGTTTATGTAGTCTTTCTAATTCTTTTATTACCTCTGATTTGGTGAAAAATGATAGATGGTTACCATATTGACTTTTCACTTTCTAACACGATTCATCCATTCTGACAAATTTAAAAAGCGTTCAGGTCTTCCCCTTCACATTTCGCCCAACTTCGCATAATCTTGGACAGAATTCATAATAGAAATGATGTTCTGTCGCCAATTGAAAGATCTGGACTCCCCGTATTTAGGATCTTTTAAAATGATAGGTTTTAGGTTGTCATATTAACATCGTCAGTAATGACGTGTCCAGCGGGACTATAGTTGAAAAACGGAACGCTTAAGAGGAATTTGATTTAGATGTTCACTATCTAGGCACTGTAATTTTTGTGTTTAATTGAAAACAAAATTTGTGAAACACTGATGCCCCCGTATGGCAACTTATAGCAAAGTTTAAACTTTCTCAAATGCAAATCAAATATGTTAGTACAAAAGTAAATTCTTGTCCCGAGGAATATACCTGTGAAATATGAAAGCCCTAGCAGCAACCATTAAAAGATATGGAAAAGGTTAAAAATTTTCAAACGTAAATAAAACCTCAAGGTCAAAATTCATGGTGCCCAAGAAAAGGCCTTCTCACAAGAAATATATATGTGAAATATGAAACCCCAACCGTTCAAAAGATATGGGCAAGTTTTAAGTTTATCAAAAGTAGGTCAAACTCCAAGGTCAAGGTCAAAAGGTCAAAGTTGTTGGTATCCAAAGGAAGGTCTTGTCACAAGGATTACATATGTGAAATATGAAAGCCCTATCGCCAACCGTTCAAAAGTTATGGCCAAGGTTAATGTTGGGTAAAATTTTGTAAAACTGGGTCAAACACAAAGGTCAGACATGATGGTACCCAAAGAAAGGTCTTGTCACAAGGAATACACATGTGAAGTACGAAAGCCATAGCTCCAACCAATCAAAAGTTATGGTCAATGTTGAACTTTTTGCAGACAAACAGATAGACAGACAGACAATTGGACAGACGGATAGGGCAAAAACTATATACCCCTGAATCTTCGATACGGGGGCATAAAAATTGGAAGCAACAGATTGAAATATTTTGGAATGCAAGACTGAACTTTTTTTATGATTAAGAATGTTAATAATGTCCACAGCATCTATTCCTTTGTTAGCATATTTAAGGAACTGACGGGTTAAATCGGAAATCGATTTCTTACTAATATACCTTAAAACTAGAAATTCCTTTTGGAACTAAGTGTAGTATTTCAGCATGCACTGTTGAAGGTTTCTTGAACAATACATTTTTTTTTCTTAATCCTAGTTACTAAAAAAATTCTTATGTTGATTATTGTCACAGAAATGGTCCCTTACTAACAGTCACAGACGCATTCTTTATTGGTCTAATTGTAACAGTGGCCTCTTCTCTTATTGGCTACAAAGATCTCTCGCATCAGTGTTGGTAGACATCATTGTAATACATATTTCATTTGTGTCAGGTACAAATACAGTTTTTTTTTTCCTTTATATATATATATATATATATATATATATATATATATATATATATATATATATATATATATATATATATATATATATATAATCACATGAAAAATCGCAAATTTTTTTTTAAAAAAAAAATTTAATGTAAAAAAGTACAAGCAAGAATATTTGACCTCTTCCTGACTAAAACTCCGAACAAACAAAAATAAAAACCTATATACATGTACATAAGAACTGATGTTCTGATCAAGCATAAAGAATAAAAATTCTCCTAATAACAAATATGGTACGTGATTCTTATTTAAGAAACTCTGTAGTCTGACAAATACATGCATGTCTCGAGATTAACAAATATTTCGTGATAGAGTTTGTAATTCATACAGTTACTTTAAATTGTGTGATAATGTAAAACAAGAAACAAAAACAAACAAACAAAGAATGACTAGGACAAGAACAAAAATAATATCAAAGGAAACAAAGCACCAAAAACTGGACAAATATCCCGCATGGGGCTGAGGTCTTCTAAAATAAGATTGCATTCTTTAAAAGTAACATTACAAAAAGCACAACATATATTGAGAGATGACTTATTTATTAAGTTGCTTATTATTATCAGGCCTAAAAAAAATTGTGTGTTTCAGGTTACCCGACCTAACCTATAAAAATGCGCCGATCCTAACGTTTTTTTTCCATGTCCGTATTATTTATATGTAAAATCCGTTTTTATCAGGATATTTTTTTCTCATTCCTAAGGAACGTCTTTAAAACGCTTTGGCTTACAGTGAACATTAACGAAATTTAAATCAACAAGCAAGCGTTTTTATGACGAGTCCGACAGCATGGAATGGGAAATCTTTTGAATAATATAATTTTCTGTAATTTAAAATTTTAGTGATATAGTTGAAATGGTATTGGTGGGTTACGTACCGATTACGTGTTCGACCCGCGTAGTTTCGTACTGCGTATGTATAAACCAACATGTGTATACAAGCAGACAGGTTAATATGAACTAACGTGTTTACAAACACACAGATGTGTGGCAAACACACTGGTGTACGGAGCTGTCAATAGAGAGCAAAAGGCTTAATAGTTATTTGTGTCAATTAGATTGTTTCTGTCATACAAATAGCACGAATAATGAATAAGTACATATATTAAAAAAAATTTCTATCTTTCTAAAAGATTTTTCTTAAAATCATAGATTTTGATATATGTGTATTAGAATATTTTAGATCACTTTTTTCATAGAAGAAAGCCTGTTTAAATGTTTTGGAAAGAACCCGCAAACGCAGGGACAAGCTGTAGTGTAAACAATAACTAGATAACTAACATTCACACAATTACAGCCTTCTTTGAAGATCGAAAACCTTAACTGGTAAAAATATAATTGCTTCAAAATTACAATAATGAATGGTATAAATAAAGATGATATTGTTCTGAATTCAAATGCATATCTGCCAAAGATCTACTTAGTACGAGTATCCCAAGAAAATAATTGTCTTTTATAAATTTGTTCTTTAATTAACGATTATGCGACTCGAACAACTGATTACCACAACTTCAAACCAGAATCTACAGACTGACAAATTCTTCCTCTGGGTTTGTTACACTTTGCTGCTGAAATTATTAGTTGATATGAAAGAGATTTATCAAATATATATGAATTTTAATTATCGAAATTTTAATTTAACACGTCCAGCCGGGCGTCAATACATGCAAATTGGTTTGCCTGCTGCAAAATTTGTGCGTCTCAGTCGGGCGCACGGTTATTTCAAACACTGATTTAAGAATATGTGATTTGTGTTAAAATGAAAGATTTCCCTTGCAGAAGAAAAATTTAATAACAGAATTTTAAATTATCCATTAACTGTTATCTTTTGGATTCAGAACGAAACCACTCTGGTCGTAAACACAAGGGTCGAACACATATTTGAAACTTAACCACTCATATTTGCTGAAATGAAGAGAAAATGAAAAATTAAAATGATATGAAACTATAAAATTTTGTTGTCTGATGTTTTTCAAACATGTCGGAGTGAAATAAAATACAGAATAATATTCTCATGATTTTCTATCTCTGTTGCAGTGGTCATTTCATTAAAAAAAAATCCAAAAAAAAAATTTCCTACCTACCTATCCTAATTTTTTCATCAGTGTTACCCGAAACACACATTTTTTTAGGCCTCATCTGTGCATTAAGCTAAATTTTAAAACACAGGTCTTTTTAAAAGCTAGACTAATTGTAACACGAAACCTTTACACATTATAATTTGATTTAAAACTGTTTCAATAGGAATTATATACTTAAACCAGAAAACATAATTTATATTCATGAAAATAATAAGATTATAGAATTTACATTGTCTAAATTACTATTTATGCTTTAACAAGGATATATAGAAGCTTAGTACAGGAGTGTTGTATAGGAATATAGTGGCTGAATGGCTTGACAGTAATGTTGAGCTGGAGTTCTTTTTGACACTACTGTCGTCAGTGTAGTATCTTGGCTGTTACATTACACCTCCATAGACTCGGATCCCGTCTGCTTACATAGGACAATGGCAAAAAACAAAGCCCAAAAGCTAGGAAAGACAATGTACACATGTAAGTTATCAAGAAAGAGGAAACAAGATTTCATGACAGAATAAAACTATGAAGGTTTGTTTAATATTTATACATCCATGTTCATATTTTAAAAAGGGGGACGAATTTTCAATTATGTGAACTGTCTCTTTTTGTGCCAGGAGGAGGGCTTCTCCTTATGTGATAAAGTACAAAACGACTCTGGGTTTCTTCATTGCAGTAAAATTGTACAAACATTTTTTTCCGATAATAATCAATTTAAGATGAATAAACGAGTAACACTCTTTTTAAAATTCAGTCGTGATTTTGAAAAAAAAAAGCATATCTTTATAAAAAAAATTTATGTTAACCATTTGAAAATATATGTTTATATATATAGGGGATAGTTTCAGGTATTAGTCTTGTGGAGAATGGCAACATTCAAACATAAAGTGTCAAGAACAAATGTAATATTTTGTTTAATAGTTACTGTAGTGGTAAAAAAACAACCCAGTTTCTTACCTCGATTACCATAACGGTAATTGCGACTCCAATGACCGGTGCTGATGAAGTTTGAACTAACTGTTGAAACCGATCATAGCAGCCCTTTAAAATCAACAAAATGCTCAAAATCAAGTGGAATTGGAGAATATTTCCGAAGGAAACATTATATTACAAAGTACAATTATATCCGTAATCATGATATAGAAACTAAATTAGTTTCTAATATGTAAGCGTTCAAAAATCGGCATTGGTTAGTTTAGTTTTAGTTAAAACCAATGCCGATTTTTGAACGCTTACATACACAAATCTTATCAAATCCTAAGCCATGTGCAAATCTAGAAAAGCAGAGTCGGGAGGTTGTTTTTTTTTAAAGTTAAATTTATAAAATTAAGTAACCCTTCAAAAAAAAAGTGAACTTAGTTACCCGCCTCCTTTATGAACACGAACCCGGAAGAAGTCCTGAAAAATGTCCAACTTCCATGTAGTAGGTTATTCTTGTTAAGACTTTTTTCCCACTTTTTTTTGGCGGGGGAGGGGGGAGCTTGTTAAAAAAATTTCCGAGTCAGATGTTTTTGAAGTCGGTAAGGATCCCCCTTGAAAAACATTCATGGACCCCGGCCCCGATGTTACGCTCAAGAATTTCTATACTTTTCCTAATTTTTTGATAAATTTGTTGAATCTTAATAAATTGTCCTTCCTACACCCTCAATATTTTTCTGACAAATTTGATAGATTCTTTTTAATGATTTCCTTCAAATTTCTTGCTGAAATAATAACACTCACCTGAGTATTGTAGTCTTTGGAAACGCTGGCGTAACAGTCAGCCGGGGCCTGGGATTTGTAGTTTGATTCAGTAACTCCCACACAGCAGGTTCTAGGAATCTGCGCATTTGTTTGTTGGCATTCACCGGAAGTTGTACACCAAGGGGTGAGGTCAAAATCGTTTGTAGTCCCTTGTACTCTATTAACGCCGCAGCAATTAAACTAAAGTAATATATACATTATCAAAATATATACTTGGTTGTTTTTTTTTTACATGAACTGCATCCTGAAGTCTTAAAAATAAATAAAGATGTGTTACAATGTACGATGGCTGGATTTCAAGCTTAGCTGTTGATTTGTCGGAGAGCAAGTCAGCAATTTTGACGTAGTCTAAGAATAACAGTACTACATTACCACTGATTACAGTAATGTCTTACTGTTTAACACGTAATATCAAGAATTACGTATGATGTTATTACGTACCTTTAAAAATGCATAGTTCCATGCATTAGAAATATCGTTGGTAGAACTCAAAGATTCGTCGATATAGTTTTCCTGCAGGGACTTGAGCAAGACCTCCTTAGTTTCATTATTAAACTAGAAGAACAGTATATATGTAATATATATATATAGCTAAATAAGCAATACGTATACTCAATAGGAGAGCAACATGCAGACATTAAGTAACAATCCCTTTAATAAATTTCTTTGTAAAAATAATGAGCATATAATATGTATTTGTAGATAGAATGTTCGCCACTTTTTTATGATTTGCAAAATATTCAGTCTTTTATAATGCAAATTGACATTATTGTAAATAGTAATTTTTTTTGCATATTTATTATTTTATTACATTGTATTTGAAAAAAAGCCATTTAATAACAAGAGGCCCAGGAGCCACTTCGCTCACCTGAACACTGTGGCTAGGAAGAAAGCCAAAATCAGTTTAGTATTGAAAAGCTTTTTCCTGTGTATTCCTATCTAAAATTTCGGTCGTCAATTGCGGCCCCACCCTACCCCCGGGGGTCATGATTTGAACAAATTTAATTCTACACCACCTGACAATGATTCCACATGAGTTTCATCTTTCTTGGCCCATTGGTTCTTGAGAAGAAGATTTTTCAATGATGCCATTAATTTTTCGCTATTTCATAATTATCTCCCCTTGAAGGAGGACATGGCCCTTCATTTGTACAAGCTTGAATCCCCTTCTCCTAATGATACTCTGTGCCAAGTTTGGTTGAAATTGGCCCAATAGTTCTGGAGAAGAAGATGAAAATGTGAAAAGTTTACAACGACAACGGCAACGACAGACAACGGACAAATATGGACCAGAAAAGCTCACTTGAGCCTTCAGCTCATGTGAGCTAAAAAGGAACTCATGTTTATATTGGAAGTCATAATTTCTTCACCCATTTAGGGATGGATACTGTTAAGGATGAAACGGTACGATACCATACCGGTATTTTTGAAACGATACGGTATTTTTAACGATACGGTACTATACCTTGAAGGTTCATTTTAAAACAAATGCGCTTTCACCAATCACCAACCTTTCAATACTATACACTAAAATGAGCTTATAAACTATGTTTATTCTTCAAACTTTTAATAAATGAAAAACAAAACAAATAAACTGAATCTCAAATTAATTTCACTACATATATAAATAACATAATCACAACTCACAGTATACACAACCTCCCGGGTTAATTAAAGATAAAATGTGAAACAAAATATTTAAAGATATTTAATTGACTGATTATTTGAGTAAAATTGAGTACTTTTATGATAACAGACACCTTAAACTGTTCAACATCTCTCACATGTAGAAATAACTCTGTCATGTAAATGAAGTAGTGACATTTCAAGAATTCAGTCAATCACTCTGCATTCTTATGCAGAAAAATAAATATATCGGCCTTCTCCGGGTCGAGGCGCACACGCTCTTGGCTGATAATATTTCCAGCTAAGGAAAGAATTCTCTCAGAGGGAACACTGCTGGCAGGAACACATGACGGACAATGCCGAAATCCACGGAAATTTAGACTTGTGCTCATCATAGAATGAAAGAGGATTAGCACTGAATTTAATTCCTTGAAACTTCTTGAACATTTCAATCTCCTTTTGGGCTTCCATTTCAGGAGTTGGTGGAGCTACATGTCTTGTAATTATAACAGAATCTTCATCCTCACTGAATAATTCCTCAATTGCAGATCTTGGGTGTTTTAAAGAGGGTATGCTTACAGTGCTTTCTTCTGTGACATCTGTCACTATTTCTGTTTCACTGGTGGATTCTGTGTCATTGTTGTTTAAGGACATGGGCTCATCTGGATCATGTTTAATAACTGTGAGGCTGGCTCTCTTTGCTCTGATCATATCAGTAATTTTTCTTGTATTTTGTCCCAAACTTCCTCTTCTTTGGTCATTTTTGATTTGAATCTAGGATCTAAGGCAGCCGCCTCTTCCAAGAAATGGCGCACTTCTTCATCTTGATACCTATTCTTCATGTCGTTCCATATTGCTGTCTTTACCATTTTAATGAATGGGCTATCATCGCGTTGAACAGTGAAACATTTTTGCAGTTTTAACCAGGTTGGAAGTATCTGACCAATAGTGGGCATTTTGTCAGTGGATACTGCTAACGTGCTTGTGTAAAGAATTTTCATACATTCTACAAATTCTTCACTTTTCTTCAAATCTTCATCTGTTACTTTGTCCTTGTCAACACGCTTCTTCAACCGCTGATCTCTGGTTGCTGCACTGAGTCCAGGATAAATTTCAGCAAATCTTTCAACCATCAGATACATAGAGTTCCATCTGGTCTTAACATCAAGAATGACATGTTTTGGAAGTTCTAAGGAAGCTAACTTTTCCTTCAAAACAACTCCAGCCATGTGGACACGCTTAAACCAAAGGACTACTGATCTTATGCGAGCAAGCCATTTAGTAAATGCTGTCTCTTTGTATAACTTTCCAGCAGAAACATTCATGCTGTGGGCAAAGCAAGGGACCCGTAAGACATTCAACACATTTGCACCTACTGCCATGTTAGCAGCATCGTCCACAGCAATGGCAACTACTTTTTCTTTGATACCGAATGAGGTTAGACATTCTCTTATTTCCAATGATATTGCCTCTCCAGTCTGGGACTCATACACTGCTTTCGTTTGTAGAACTTTGTTTCTAGAGCCCAGTCTTTAATGAAGTGAGCTGTTACTGTAAGATAGTGGTCCCCACCCAAACTTGTCCAATGATCTGCTGTAATTGCAACAGCTTCTACTGAAGCCAACTCTATTTGTAGTTTTTGCATTTTCACATTGTACCAGTTTGGAACATAAATAGAAGATATTGTTTCCTTGTTGGGTGGAATGAACTCTGGATTTAATTCCTTTAAAACTTCTCTGAATGAATTACTGCTTATTATACTAAAAGGCTGCATTTCTTTTACAACAAATCTGGTAACTGCCCTACTAATACTTTCATGCTGCTCCTTCGACATCTTTTTCTTTTTTAAACTAGAAGACAAGGTAAGTTGGTTAAATGGCGTAGGCTGTTTGATAATTTGAGGACCTGGATTCATTTGACATGAGGAAGTGGACTTCTGTAGGCTGGGAAGTGGTGGTGTTATAACTGATACAGCTGCTGTTGAATCAGAAATATTGCACAAATTCATCTAAATGATTTGATTTTATACTCCATTAAAATGATTATCAGCACATGTAATGTTTTCCCCACTTTTTTTAAACATCAAAACAATTCAGTAATTTCAGTTTGATGTTATAACTTTTATCAAAATAATTTATGTTTTCATTTTCAATGCTTATTTATTCAGAAAATGATTTATTCAATTATTCAATTAAATAAATTAAATATCATCAAACTAATTCTAATAATTTTTTTTCTTAAACTCATTTTCACTTTTATGAATGTACAGATGGAGAGAAAAAAATCATTGTCAAGATTTCCAAGAAAAACTTTTATTTATTAAGTGCATTTAAGTGTGCACTGTGCATCTTCTAATATACCTAATGGTTAAAAAAATATATCTACCTTTTTTGTCTGAAGCATTAGAGGAAGTCGAACCTTCGCTTTCTACATGTAGATCTACTTTCTGTTTCTTCACGTTAAAAATTGTACATGGGTTAATATCTATTCTGTGTATGATTCGTAGATGTTTAATTAAGTTGCTCGTAATCCCCCCTTTCCCCTGGCAAAATAATTGACAATGATTACAAACACCGCCGTCTGATTTTCTGCTATAATGGGACCAGACAGCTGATCGCTTCGTCCGGTTGCCTGGGCCCATTTTCTTTGGTAGCACTAAACGACGAAATATCATTTTGCCTTTTTAATTTACATTTATTATCATTTTTTTTAATGAAATTAAAACACGATTAATGTACATGTATTTTATTTTTTTTCTATAAATATACGTATTGATTTGCCTCGAATATCGGTAGCAATACTAAGCATCCATTTCGTTAATTAGCCTATCCTTTCAATGCGCGGGAAATTCGATTTAAGTGAGTCTGAAATCATTTTTTTAAAATCATTTTGAATGTATTAAATGTTTCAAAGATTAAGAAATACCGTTATTAGTACCGGTATTAAATGAAAAAAATTCCCCAGGTCGTTTCCTGCCAATTCCACCTTGTTTAGCGCGGGCAATACCTCGTCGGCTATGACATTGACATTCGCTACTATCCCCGCTACCAGTAAACCAGCACCAAGTAACTGCAATGGAAAAGATGTATATTCCTATGCGTGAAACATATAATTTACTGTGTTGTAGATACTAAAATTGTTGAGAATACAATGTTTTTGTTAATTAATTTCATTATGAAATGAAAAGCTATGGGACCATATAAAATTGTACAATGTTGCATTAATGCAATTGAGCTTCACAATTGTACCCCAAGAATAATCATGCATTGGATTTGCATAATTAATTGGTCACATGGTAAAATAATACATTTAATAGACGAGATACAAAGAATAGGGGGGCCATGGGCAACAAAGATTACCTGAGTGACTATGGCCCTGTTTGTTCGTCATCAGCAGATTTTTTTTTTAATTCCCCCGTTTAAGGTCAGATGACACGTTCCTCAAAAATATATAACTTTTCCCAAGAATTTATGATTGAAATATTGATATTTTAAGCAGTTTCCTCACAAAAAATTAGGAAACATAATTACCTGGAATTTGTGCAATATTCAGGACGATGGTATTTCCTATATAATCCTATACTGGAAATCACTTCAACTGCTAATATCACGATTTTTAGTTTATATATTTTTCAGAAATGAAAAAAAATAGTTTAGAAATCAAATGATAATGATAAATATTAGTCTTAGTAATTTACAAAGGAATGCAAAAAACAAGTATTTGAGAAACGTTTCGTCAGACCTTAATTTCATAAAATGTCGACCAAAACCTAGCCCAATATCAATATGACTAACATGGCTCTGCTGTTTTCAACAAGATTTTTTCCTGAGCACATGTATTGAAAAGGTTTCTTTTTACATACTTCCTTGTAAAACTCTGATACCTTATTGAAGCCTAAACCTATTCCTATGTTCCTAATCAAATTTGAATTTAAACTACGCTGAAGATGCTTGATTATCAGTAAGACTAAAAATGGCTATTTATTAAAGAAAGATTGTTAGAGATTATTTCTGTATATTCCTTTGTAAACCTTACAAACTAAATGACGCTTAAACATATAATTTTGGCTTTTCAAACTCTAATTTTGGCTTTTCCAACTTTATACTCGGTTTTTCCAACTCTGTGCGATTATATTTATATACTTTGTAGCTGGACTCATGTTGCTGCTTTAAACATGTAATTACAATGGAAAGAAACGATTCAATAATGAAATTATAATGAAAGAAGGAATTATTTCATTTTATTTTCATACACCGGAATAATGACGTCCTTTTTTTATAACCTGATTCTGGAGCTTTAGAATAATCACGGCAGCTAATACTATATAGCAATAAATTTATTTAACTAGTTATTTTATTTTCCCTTTTCCCTAAATGAGGACTAGTTCGATTAATACCTCAACAATTGATGCTAAATTAACAAAGTATACGCTACAATTCAGTCTTTATAAACATACTGATTTCTTTAAATTATTAGAGTATTGTATTCTTAAGTACATGTAGTTTCTTTTTTGTATTTTGATCTTGTATGCATTCAGTCAAGTAATCTGTTCAAAGCCAAAGCTTCTCAGTATTATCCATTTTATTCATTTGTTGTACTCACTTAAAACAAATTTATTGAAAGCCACGAAACGATCTTCAATAATCTAAGTAACATGATTATTGATACTCTCTTCATGTGATAATACGAGATTTCAATGGTCAGGGAGATATTATCATGCCATTGTTTTATCGAGCCGGAGGTTTGAAGTTTTAACAGACAAACAGAAGGACAAAACATTATGCCTCTGATCTTCGATATTCAGGGACATAAATATCAAGGAAATATTTTTTCTATACTCTAGGAGGATGATCAAAAAGTTCGCGAACTAATTGAATTACTTCCTTAAAAGAAATAAAATGAGGTTTCAGTGTGCATTATTTTTTAAAGTAGTCCTCTCCGGTTTTAATGCACATCTGCCATTGTTCTGACCATGCGCGAATCACGTGCTCCAGGCGGTCAGTGGCGTATATTCTTATCTGCTAATGTGTAAGCTGGTGAGAAGTCACAGATATATTTTGAGGCGCAAAGTATGGGTAGGCAAGGAGAAGGTTGCCACACCCCTCTCGATAGGGATTGGAGGAGGGGGGAGGGGTCGGTGGGAGCTTTTCGCGAAGACATCTACGATTGTAATCTACAATTTGACAAGTGAAAATAATATTGCAAACATTTTTACAGTTTATATCATGATATGAAGACTACTCAACAAAATGAGAAGTTTTAACTTATTTTTACTCTACTTAGAAAATATGGAAACTTCCTTACTGAATAATCTGAATACGATCAATACATTTAATTTCCTAATAACCCCCCCCCCCCAAAAAAAAAAAACCAGTAATATTAATTTCATTTCCTGCACTAATCATGACCTCCTGTTGCTGTCGATGGTTTTGAAATTGTCTGATACAGACTTAATTTAATTAAAAAAACTTGAGTTTCGGATTTAAAAAATTCCAGCTATAGGAAGTTTTGTCATTAAATATATAGTAAAACTGTCAACTTTGGATAGGTATAAAAGTACGGATTGCTAAGAAAGCTATTTTGGCATTTGCAACAAAATAAAACTAATAGATAAGAATAATTATCATCTTTTCTTCTCTTTTTTCCAACCAATTTTTTTATCCCTAAGAAAATGATGTGTAGGCTACAGCCTTTTTGCCTATATGGAATATACGCCACTGACGGTCACGTGACATACTCCGTAGCGTTCTGTTCACAGAAGCTAAAAGATTTTTCCGAGTCTTATATTTCTTACCATGCAAGTTATTTTTTATAACAAGAACAGTCCATCTATCAGAAATGGACAAATCTCGGCAATAGGATGGGTGGATGCGGATATCCCTTCCAAGAATTAGCATGGTGACCATCACAACCCGAGTCCTCTGTCTCGGGAGCGTCGTTTATCCAATGTGGATAAAGCATGGACGCATTTTTTTTTTATCAAAGCTCATATGTTTAAAGTCTTAAGTAAACGATATTTTAGGGATTTAATAATTATATTATTGTTAAGATTTTCAACAATTTTTCTAATTGTAATTTGACAATCTTTCATAACAATTTGCTCAACCAAGCACACATCTTTTCCCCGGTTTGCTTTCGCCGGGCAACAGAACAAACATCGTTTTAACCATCTCCCAGCCTTCACTAAAACAATCAATACAATTATTAATTGAACTTCTTGTTAAGTCTTTTGTCTTCGTAAACCTTGTACAAATTATCATATTATGCTGCAAAGGAATTTCCAAGATACACGTTAAACTTTACAGCCGTCCGTTGCTCGAGTACGACTGAGTCTACCATTTTTTTGGTCACAAGTCACCTACATATTGACGTCATTTTCACATTGTGATGTCACAAACACGGAACAAAACATTATATAACATGTTATTTATAGAACATGTGTATGACTATATGTGTGCCACAGAAGATGGGTGAACAAGGCGGACGAAGTGCCTATAGTTCGACAAATATGAAGTGAAAAATAAATTTTCAATTTTATCAAAATTTTCTTTGATATTTCATCTAACATTAAAGTATATTTTATGTAAAATCTCTACAATTTACAAAAATCTCACAAAGACTGAAATTATTTGCCTATGAAATAGCATGCACACACTAAAGAGGACAAAAATGACCATTTTCTCATACTCTAACAAAAATTTTTCGATATGAGTGGGTCTTGGATCCATTTTCTTGAAAGTTAATCCTAAAAAGTTTGCATAAAAATATTTTTTTGGTTAACAAAAACATGGAGCCAAGACCCACTAAACCTTAAAAGTACACTTTTATGACAAAGTATTCGCACCTTTTCGAGAAATACTTGAAGTCTATTAAGCCAAAGGTCATATCACAAACATGATTTAAATGCCACTGTTCATCGGGAGCTGCGTGGCGTAGTGATTAGCGTGTTAGTCAAAAAGATTAAAAAAAAAAAGCGTGTTAGTCTCAAAGCAATATGATACTCCGGATTTATATCGAATCCCACGAATACCATTTCATTTTTTAATAAACACATATACATATGTGAGCCTATTAATATGCAGTATAGTTTTCATGAAACAAGTGTCCGCGAGAAGGATTTAATTATTCTAATTTGCACAAATCTTTAGCCCATTCTAAATGGGGACAACGATCAAATGCTGCTAAGAAAAAAAAGTGTAGAACATACCATCAGGGACTGATTTGACATTTTTTAAGTACTAGTACTTTGTTTAACAAATCATCTTTCAATTGAAACCCATCTGTAGCGAATCGCGTGAGGGCTGGTTGTTGGAATAGACTATTACGAATTCGAGACTTAATATTGGATGTACAAGAGGAAGAATAAAGTTATATTAGTTCTACCATATTAGAGCTGCTTAATAGTTAGTCATCTTGTAAAATGGATTTGTGTAGCAGTAAACACGCTTGTAATTTGTGTGCGGTGTCTGTGAGTGATGGATGTATTCATACATACTGCGCATATCTACACACCTTTGTTTTTACATTAGGGGCGTATGCACATTATCTTCTTCCTCTCAAAAAATATTTACAAATACATGCACAACAAAAAAATGTATTTAATTAAGAAATAAGGTATCATTTTTAAACATCTATCGGGCTATAAATACGGGTTGGTCACGAGATCAAATTCCATAAAGCACGAAGGGCTTTATGGTAATTTTGATCTCGTACCAACCCGTATTTATAGCCCTATAGATGTTTAAAAATGATACCTTATTACTTATATTTACATTTTTCACTTATTCATATTTTATATTTGCCTGATTATAATCTTTAGCGCGTGAAACGTTTTATTTTTCAAACCTAACGGCACGTGTTTGATCCTCTGATTGCGCGTCGACCCTTTATGACGTCACTGAAAAATTACGTCGAACATTTATGACGAGAGGAACTCGTGTTTATATGGATATAGATACGTATTGCTTTCAGTAGTGTTATATAAAAGAAAACATTTGCAAATGTAAATATTGAAAGATGAAAATTATTGATGTACTTACAAAGAACAAAATGTTGATGCCGATTAAGAGAGCTTTTCCAAATCGTCCACAGCAGTCCATCGCCATCTTTCCTTCGATTTAGCTGTCAGAAAGTAAAACAGATCCTTCTTTTTTGATTAATTACGTATTTGTTGATAGTCAAATTTATCGTTACTAACTCCAAGATAAAGTTCTCCCAACTTTCTTATAAACAATGCTTATTCCTCAAGAAATAAAGAAAAACCCTATTCTCAGTTGTATAAATAGCAAATTCATGGTACACTTGTAAGTCACCCGATCCTTACACTTATCATCTTTTAATAAAAGAAATTTATCATCATACTGTGTCTGTTATCAGAAGGCCATGGAATTCCTTCCTTCCGTACGGATTGATAAAATACTGTTAGAATCAAAGTACTGAAAGTACTGGGAAGCGCTAAGCAATGTTTGAAATTCATCAGAATTATTTTGAATTTAAATTGCCTGTTGTATTGGAAGAAGTATTATGTTGACAGTGCAACCGCGCTGGGGCGAGCACAGTTCTTCGATAAATATTCACTTAATTTAAATTAAAACTTATATCCGCCTTTTCAAACCAGACGGGGAAACATTTGAAGGTTCGAGATTCTCCGTTTCTTTAATATATATATATATATATATATATATATATATATATATATATATATATATATATATATATATATATATATATATATATATATATATATATTAATATATATATATATATATATATATATATATATATATTAAATAACAGATATTTAGTCCAAACAGTAATGTATTTCTCAAACCTAAAAAAAAAAAAAAAGAAACGAAAAAAAAGAACATGTAAAAATATTTTCGTTCTCCATCGCTTTATAGTAGTCTATAAGAGGTAGGTTTGCGTATAAATCGCAATTCATTGGAGGTGGGGGGGGGGGGGTCGACGAGTTTTCCAACCAAATTTAGACTATGAATGTAGCTATACATTTGATGGAAAATGTATATTTTTAAATAATTTTGAACACTTGAAAATGTCGCTGATATTCCTCTCATTAATGTGCAACACTGATAGCTAAAATGTTCTGGTGATAATCTTTAATAATTCATTCCGTGTTCACGGGTGTTTCAAATTGAAGATGCCTGTTTGTGATTGTGAATTAAATTTAGAAAGTGCTCCAAAAAAATAAAAATGTTATTTTTTATTGCGTCGATAAAATATTTCCTTATTGATAACATATTTTATTAAAGTTATGAATTAAAGATCTAAAAACTATCGAATACTAGTATTCTCACTTAATTGTTTTTTAGTATATCTCTTTTTTTTCATATTCATGAGCGATTTTTAAATTTACGAATCTATAGAAAGGATTTTACAAAAAATACATTAATGGAGTGTGTAAGATATTTACACAGTCGGTACGAGCGTCCGGTATTTATTAATGATAAATAAAACTTAGACTATATATTTCATTTTGTTTTGAATATGCTACAGCTGTGCATTATACATTTTTTACACTTCACATTCATCGCGCTGTGCAGCATATCGGCATCATCATGTGAAAAAAAATCTATTAAATGAGCACCCGTACAGTTTACGTCATTTTGTCAGAGATAATTGGTAAATATACATTTTGATTATAAGGATATTATATTTGTCTTCTTCGTCTGATGATAACACATTCAAAGCTATCCTTTACATCTGATTTTCATAAACATGTACATGATTTATAATGTATTTGCATCAAAAAAATTAGTCTTTTCTGTTGATCTACAATATATGTATGTGATTTGTAAATTTTACTTTTTTAAAATAAATTTTTTATACTTTTCTTCTTCGGAATAAAAATATGTCATTTAAACCCCAAAAGTAATTTTTGGACTCTTGTTGAAATACTTAAAATGCTTCAGTATTTTTTTTTACGGAATTTAATACTTTACACCAATCTTTACTTGTTTATGTATGAAATTAACTACCACGCAAAACATGTTGAGAGGGAAAAAATATCCACAGCACTGGTGTGTTAAAAAGGAATACTAGTACTGAAAATAATTGACCCGTAATTTTTCTGCTAATTCCATGATAAATAATTCAACAGCCCAAGAAAGAAAAGACATTATATTAATCTCAAGTATGAATAAATCTTTATGAAGGTATGCAACATTGTTTTATTCTGTTTTTACTTAGTCCTAATTAAGTCGCTTAGCAGACAAATCAGCAACACACGCACACCTTTACCTATAAACTATTTCTTCCTAAGTTCCTAACACAAGTATGCTTAACATTTCATCAGCGCTATTCCTGTCCATTTCTAATAACGTTTAATTAAGGTTTTAGCATTTTCCGCCAGATCTTGCGCACTGCACACACAATTTTAAAGCACAATATTTGTCATCAATATTTCCGAGAAATCAGTTTTCCTATCTAAATGAATTCGTTGAAAACACAGTCTCCACGTTCCCTACGTGTACGTACAGCCGCGAACTGCCTTTCTTTGCGAATTATTAACATCATATTTTTTTTACCCATATTACAAGTATAGAGTACAACACAAGTAAAGACAGTTCATGAATGCATTCCAGTCTGTTACTAATTGACACTGAGATGCGAAAATCAACTTCATTGATAGCTCTCTGCATGGTGCAAGGGTGATAATAGGAAGACTTGTTTTTAGTTACATTGTCTGAAATAAGGGTCTAGAAGAAGAAAAATTAGTTAATATGGATATAAATTATATAGAGCGTACATATGTAGGTACATTGTTAATCAATTTTATGCGAAATTTTTTACTAAATAACTTAATTCCAGTTTGAGTTTTAAATACTTATTAAAATCCCATCTGAGTTTTAAAAATATGTACTTATTCAATCACTACATTATATGTACATGACATAAAATTAACCGTTTTTAGGGTATCTGCGCCATAGATGCAGCAATTGTTAGTTACCTGGTACACAAGTGGTATGTGCCGACACGATTTTAAATGAACTACAATGTATAGAGATAAGAACCGCCCCTATCTACTAACAGTGGATTTTCGTACAATGTACATGCATACTCTTTACCTTACTAATTGACTCCTATTATTAGAACTGCACGTAACGCAGTATTACACTAAAATAGCCGAAAGAGCGTCGGGGATTTCCAGTTGCATATTTTTAGAAAACCCAGTGGAGTTATCTAACTTGCTTAGTGGCGCTGGATCGCGAACGGAAGTAGATTTAAGATGACAGAAAGCGCTTTGCGCTGCGCTTAGCGCTTAAAAAGGATTTTGTATGTATAATGATAATCTATGAGAAACACAAGAGGATGATAAATCCTGTTACTAAGTGATATTTATCTCCCAGCATTATCATATAGGAACTTCCTGTTACTTTACGCGGATCCAGGAATTTTTCAAAAAGGTGGAAAAGGGTGGAGGTGGGGTGGGGGGTTCCACATCCACTTAAAAAGTATCCTAGTCTGAAATTTTTGGATAGGCCTAAGCAAGAAACTAAAACCGAAACAACTTCTCTAAAATCGAAAAAAAAAATCTTGGTGGGGGTGGGGGTGAGCTGCTTTAAATTACTCTCCTTAACTAAAGGGGAGGGGAGTGTTCAATGTCATATTTTACGACCTTTTTTTTATTGATCTATAGATCTAGAGCTCATAACTGTGTGTTTTTCCTCGCAAGAAGAAAAGAAGGGGGGTACCTAGCTTACCCCTCTGGACCACCTTTGGTGACCTAAAATTTATGATTTTTTTTTTTAGAAAAAAAATTATATATTCCCTTCTTGTATTTCTGAAGTCTTCATTTCAGAAAAATAAGAACTGTTAAAAATTTGCATCCCATGACGTCATTTTTCGAGAGTATAAAACGAGGGGAAATGATTTTGTGATTGTGGACAATTAACGATTCATTTTTGACAGGATTTTATAGAGGTATGTATCAATAAGCTTTGTTTTCAATGTAGAACTACATATTTAAGCTCCTTATTCTTTCAGAACACTTGTATCATGATACATGAGGTGAAATATAACATATGTATGATGATACACATTTCGAATTTCCTCATTCATATTTAGGAATGGAATTCAAGGCACAAACCTTAACTAGGCCTATATCTACACTAAAAGTTTTTATTATGTAATCATTTACAGGCCTTGTATTTGAAATTTTGACAAAGTCTTTAGTTGCAACTTATTTTTGTTATCACCTGTATTTAAGCTTTGTCGGTTAAAGAGTTATCACATCATCATCATCATTTATTTGGTATCATATGTCATCATACATAAAACAAATACACATAAATGTACATAATCATTGGAAAGACAATATTTGGGAATCCATAAATTTTAAATAGATTTATAAATAAATATTCAGGAAACCATATTTTTAGATAGTGACTAGTTGATACCAGGATAACCCATTAAAGCTGGAGAGCTTATTTCCAATTGGGTCCTACCCTAAATAAGATATAAATACAATGTTTCATCATTAAAGCAATATAACAATTTTTGGCACTATTATTTTAGCACTGCGCTGCTTACACGTTAAATTTAATTTAAGTATGACAACATATAGGATCAATAAAATAATAAAATATGTTTTATAAGTTAATGCTGAAACATATCACTTCCATGTTCTAAAATGCCATTTTGTAAGATAAAACTCTTAACTTGTTTCTTAAAAGTACTCTTTCCTTTAGTACATTTAATAGAAGCTGGTAAAAAATTCCAGTCCATGTTAATCTGTTATATTGGAATCTGTTATTGTGGGATACATGCCGACTATAAATAAAATTTACTTGACTTGTCTTGATCTTACATAATTAATAGGAATTCATATAAGATGAAGCTCAAACAGACTCCTTTCATCAAGATTATCTTAGTAATTTAAAATCTTAATTCAAAGAAACTGTTATACTTCCAGAAAAAAAGCCCATATCAGCTTTATATCTAGACATTTGTGATTTTTTTCATATTGATAGCTGCATTAGAAATATTATTTAGAAATGTTTTTGATAGGTGGAGGTTATAATAAACATTTAAAAGTAAATACTTTTGACCTTTGAGTGTATATTCATTATTGACCAATAAGGATGAGTTTAGATGCATAAAAAAAGCTGATCAACTTGAAATGTAAATATTTTAACATAAATGTGTATCATGATACATTTTGATATGTATTAACTTTTTATTGTCATCTCAGACGTTACTAAAA